CCCCCCACAGCCAGCCCCACACTGCCCCAATCATCTCTGTGACATGCCCAATCTAGTGTACAGGGCCATGGTATCCATCTAGTGGGGCTCCACATAGGCCCAGAATTTGACAGTAGGAGAGAGGCAATAAATTGCCGCTGTTCCCTTGCCACCAAATTTTTGGAGTGTGAGGAGCCCTGTGGACCAGATGACATGGCTCCACAGGCCATATCTAACCTGTGGGCTGGGGTTCGAGGACCCCTGTGCTAAAGAAATGAAAAGTAATGGTGCTTTTAGTAGGATCTTAGGAAAATAGGGCTGAAAAGCAGCTCATGAGGTCCTGTAGGTCAGCCCCGTGTTCAAGGCAGGGTCATCCCTGACTAAAACAACCCAACAGTCTAACATTAAACTTATTGGTGTAATAAGCAAAGTATACAACTTTTTATTTGAAAACAATAGTAATTTGGGTATTGAGAAGGGTTCTCAAACCTCTTGTCTCTTGATCATTCAGCATTACAACTGTTAGACCTGCTTTGCTGAAAGCTTTCTTAAAGCATTTTTTGAGTAGTGGGCTTGGCTGTATTTTTAAGATGCTAATTCTTCCTACAACTTGCTTTGTGTTTTGGGCATCTAATGTTGCTTAGAGTTATCAAATAACTAGTCAAGTAGCACATGTGATGATAAATAAGAATGACACCTTTAGTATTGGTGATATTTAATATTTAATCCACAGGGGTTGGGTATTTTAGCACATCTCATAGTGCTTTATTGTCTCTCTCTGATTCTTCATATTTCTCATTTTCTTTTCCTTCCTTCCTTCTTTTTAATACCCTTAAGATAATCTTTCTTCATTAGGCTGTATGTGCAAGAACACTTGTGGGATGGAATTCCTGCTTACTGACGCTTTATTTCAGTGTTTGTATTTAGCCAAGGGGCTTTTTATTGTCTATATGCAAACTGACAGCTCATAAACTGGGGCCTACATAATGTGCAAAAATAATGCTGCTTCCCCTCAATTAAAATCTAAAGATTTGGTACTGGGCTCTTCATTAAATTGCAGTGTAAGATGCAAACTCTCACTAGAGATCATAGGTTACATTTCTCCTTCTTCAGCACAGAATCATTATTTCCAAAGATTCCCCTTATGAATTCTACAGCAAGTTTAGAGTCATAAATAAACTGTTTAATTTTTTCCATTGGTTTGCCCTTTTTATGGAACAACACAGAGAGATTTGGTGTCGCTCAAAATTTCTGTATTAGGATTAAAATGAAGGGTCCATTTCTGGAAGCCTTTCGTATACAGAACCCCCAGTGGGTTCCAAAGGAGAGCTTGATGGATCAGGACTAGATATCCTCTTTCTATCCATTCTCCCTGTACAGTGTGTGTGTTTCTATTTATACATATTTCAGGATGGGGAAGAGAATATTGTAAGTAAATCGGTCAGTTGAAAATATGGATTAATAGAATCATGGGGCTGAAAGGGATATCAAAAGGTTATCTAGTCCAGTCTTCTGCCCTAAATAAGTGATTCTCAACCTTTTTAGACTCAAGGTACTGAACACACAACAGATCCCTGAGGGATCCCAGTTGATACCTCTTCTGAGTTAAACACTACATCACTGATGACAACTCTGAGCATGGACAACCAACCAGTTATACACTTACTTATAGCACTGTCCTTGGTGTACTTTAAGAATGTGACGCTGTCAGAATTTCATAACCGTTGTCACCCAACTTGCCATTCACTGTCACATTCTCAGCTAGTTCCTCCCTTTTAGTAAGCAGCAAATCCAGAAGAGCCTCCTCCTGTCTGCACACTAATGTTACCCTCACAGCAGATATTATGGGGAATTAAAATCCTGCACAAGTGTCTAGTCTCTTGTGTTGGATCCGTCAGTTTGCTGTTTAAAAAAAACTTCATCTACCTTCTCTTCCTGATTAGTGCTGTACAGTAGACAAAACCAAATGGTGCCTCTCTATTTAGGGTGGTTATTCTCTTTGACTGAGAATGCAGAAGGACAAATATGGAGCAGCGAGGGAGGATTAGCCAAATGAACCAAGATGGTCAATGAAGCAACAGATCACCCTCACATTCAGAGTTGTTCTTTTTACATCCAGGCTCACTGTTAAGTACAGGGTAGTAATACAAGTTTGGAACTATATTCAACAAAAAAGCTTGCCTTGGTTGCCACAGTAACTGAAATATGAAAAATTTAAAGAATCAGTTTCTGAAGCTAAGTGTGCAAGCTGGATGAATAATTGTTGCTAAATGAGT